CGGCCCCAAAATCAAAAAAAAATTGTTTAAAAATACCGAATACTAATCAGATAACCTCATAACTTGTGGTTTCCGTAAGGTCGGTTCTGATTTTACAGGTTGCTATGAATGACGATTTCCGGACCGAGATATTCATATTTTTGAGGGGTGGGGAATGTCCTATGATTTTGCATGGCAATGTAGTATATGGAATTGCGAGCAGTTTTCAAATTTTGGGAACTATCTGTCCACGACTGCCTGTGGCGTGTGCAGCGCAACAAGGGGTAGGTATGGGTCTACTCATCTCTTACAATAAAGTGTTTTTTTGTGTTGTTCTAAGTACTGGAGTTCTGGATGTGAATTTAAACGAAATTCGTTCAGCTTCACCACAGCTTTTGAAATATAATATTTCTCTTCACTTAAACTATCCTGATGTTCGAAAAAGTGGTAGCCAATAGCTAAAACGTCTATCAAATAAGGTGGCATCTCGAGATCTGCCGCTGTCTCCAAAAACTTCCATCAGTGCAGTTTCAGCATTGCGAACTTTGAAAGGCTCGATCTTGGTGGGTAAATTTAGAGCAAAGTTCCGAAAGCTGTAGCGAAAAATCCGCTCTACATCCCATCTATCACAGCCCATTGAAGGAACGAGTCTTTTTCACTGCACAAAAAAGCCATAAATACAGGTAACGATGAAGAAATTGGAAATGGCAAAAAAGTTGCGGCCAAAAAGGCATTTGGTCGAATACTTTTTAGCGCTTTTGCTCAAGCTCTAAACTCGATTCGTACGAATACTATACAAGAAAGCTTACTCCGCTGCGGCGTAGTGCATGATGGATCCGTAGTCGTACGCCAGTCCAAAGTTGTCGTTCTGCTCCTGTGTATATTTCATGAAATCTCCGCTCTGACCTGCCTGAAAATCCCTGTTAAAAGCATTGTCATCTTCATATTTTTTCTCATAGTTATTAGATAGTTGATCAATATTTCATAGTGTAATGCCTGTGTTTCTTTTCATAATGACGACCATACTTACACGTAGTGTCACTCCCAAACCACATTTCTTCATTACGACCCCATGACCCAGAAAACACAAGTGTCCCTTTGTGATCGGAAAAAACGTAATTTTTTGCTTAGACCGACTATTGCCTTATTGAGATTCCACCGTAATCACAAATGGTCTCTGACCAATTATTTGAAGACGAGAACGTGATCTCACCCTTTTCTGCTTTATATAAGGTCAGTCAAATCGCAACTGGGAATAGCTGTAGATAGAGCTATGGTGGGGAGGGAATAGGGGAGAGGTGGGGGAGGTGCTCTTTAAAATCTTTCTAGCATCAGCGAATTAGCATTTTTCTGAGCCTTATTAAACAAAGGAACGACACGACACTACGACAATACGTGAACGACAGTTCGAGGTGTATTTTTTATGAGGAGGTGGTCCTCATACCTAATATACTGCCCGCCTTCTATCTAATTTATTGCTCCTGTTCAATACAAGAGCTCCTCCCGACTTTGACAAAGATGTTCAAATCTCTAATTCGTCACCTCTTCCTTGGACCACTGCGGGCCCGAATGTGAAAGAATCTCAGAAGTGCTTCGAAACTACATAAGCGCTTATCAGCAGTATTTCTCTCTCCGATGAATATGAAAGCAGACCGAGAAAGGTTCTTCCGCATGCAAATTTTGAAGCCAGCATGCATTTTTGATATAAAATTTTTAAAAAGTTCGATTACAGCAATTTCGAGGGTGGACCTCTAGTCATGATAAGTACTGTAGAGGTAACCTTGCGAACAGTAGCATTAGTCTGCTCCGACGATCACGACTTTCCTTGAGTGAGTGATATTTCAGAACTCTACAAGGCTCAAGCAATAAAAGCCAAACAGGAAACCGCCGAGACGATGAAAGAGAATCATTTTTGTAAACTTCTGTACTTAGTCACTTTTGACTAAACTGTGAACTATGACCAGAATGCAATCTCGAACGCATGAGGATAATTATGGCGGATACTGCCAATGTCATCGACATGGCGTAGGGCTCTAGTGGACTTACTGGCAGATGCCGTACGACAGAGCTTCCAGGTTTATACCGCGGTAACGGTCTGATGACCTATCTAGAGCGCAGAGGGGATTTCTTTCATGCGTTCTACAACTGGCGAGCAAAGAGCCAATTCTGTTATATCGCAGTGCAAATTTCAGTCTGAAAGCGGAAATAATCATAAGTACCTTCTTCAAATGTAAGCAAATTTGATAATGGTTGTCTAATTTTCACCTGCATAACGTCATAGTTAACTTTGACAAAGTTGTCACGATCGACGCGCGAGTGGGTGTGTATAAATCCAAGAGTATGACCAATTTCGTGCGCAGCAATAAATCCCAGAGGGCATCCGTTTCCCAACGATAACTCCTGTTCGCCGCCTAGTTTGCCCACAGACGACCAACATCCTGATGACTCAATGACTTTCACTCGGTCTTTAGCTGAAATAAGGCTTTTGTTAACAACAAACGCTAAGTACTGCTAAATTACGGCAACTAGTGGAATTTTCCATATCTATTCAAGAGTTGACATTTCGATGTCTACGATGTCACATTGGTTGTGAATAAATGTGTTTATATTTTTCACACATCCTGCTCCATTGCTAAGCAGCGTTCAGTCGATTATATTGATCATTTTTTCAACGCCGGATATGGTTATCCTGTTAGGTGAACATTCATGTAAATCTTACCCGAAGGATTTTCTGTGAAATTGATACAGGTTTGACTTTCCCATTGTTTCGCTGCGTCTCTGAACGCATTCTTAGTTTGATCAGCTAAAATAATCTGCATAGCGTACTTCTACTGGAGTTTCAGGTAATCACAACGGTAACAATGCTTACAGATGGAATCGTCAAAGACGTAGTTAAGCCCCTCTATCCAAAGCATTTGAGGCCAAGCCTTCCAATTCATGGCCTGACGTTTCAGGCGGTGTTCGTTATTGCCGCCTTCATCTTTTGTGCCGCTGGCCACCTGTTCTGCATGCTCACTTAAATTATGGGATTAGGGAAAACAACAACTTGAATTCTGAATTTTTCACGTACCGGGATAACACAATGTCGCCTTGGTGTAGTAGATGATGGACATTATTTTTTTCATTGACTTCAATAATGGAAAGCCCGGAAGAAGTCACACCATTGACGAGAGCGGGCAACAGTATGGCGAGTAAGATAAGCCCCATGCTGTAATATTTTAGATGGAATGCAGCTGGAAGCTGAGGCAGTAAGCGTGAATGACGTGTTTTCATTTTTGAAAAATTATTCGAGCAGCAGCTGTCACTAGGGCAAACTTTACAGTTTGCGGGAACTTATGAAAGGCATACATTATATTCGAGGAATGGTTCGCGATTGGCGAGCGGGGTGCGTAAAAATGGAGTAGCGGGCATCAGCTTTTGTTAAAACAAAGACTGCATCATAGATATGTTTAGCACGCAATAGCATATTGATAATGGGTAATATTGTTGTACAGAGATCGCTACTACATCTTAAGCCAATGTCTACTTCGCATCGCATCTACAGGTTCATTAGATACTGCTATTGCCCTTGAGATGAGTAAGAGCCCAAGGAAACTCCGACCACGCTTCGTCGGTGGCACTGACCCTGGCTGATTTTTCACACACGAAATCTAGATGCGGGATACACATGCAATTTTTAAGGCATCGCACGAGTCAGCAAGATGTAGTCCGACATCCGGGCGGAGAGGCTGACTTTTTCTCGAGCGCCACTTCACGATTATTTTTCATCTGAAGGCGTAAAAATGGAGGAAGCCGTTGATAGGTAGTTTGTTTTCGCATTTCTTTGATTGTGATACTTGAGAAGATATAACGTGGCCGAGCGCGTCGGCAGAAATTTTTGCAGTGATATCACTATGCGATGCACCAGCATTTCAATAATGGGGAAACACTCGGATTCATGCACCTATAGAAGAGACGCTTTGTACAATGAAAAAGTGAGCGTGGTAGCCCGCAAGGAAGAACACATTCTGGCAACACTAGCCGTCATGCCATGAGCACTGGAGGAGAGAGGTCGCCGTGCCATCAATTGAAATGATTCGCTTTTATGCGTGAAATTGTTTGACTCTGTTGTGCCATTTTCACTTGCTTGGATAAATATGACTACACAGTGACGGGCAAAACTGCAGTACATAGAAAAAGTTCTTTACACAGGTTGAGCGAAGGTTACGGTGGCAGGCCGCCGTCTCATTTGATTTCCGAACTCTAGGAATTTTAGGTGAATTCTATAAATCTATACTAGTCAAATTCAATCTGTTTCTTCCATATAAAATATATCAAATCTAGACTCGTGTACACTCATCTCTTCCTGGCCGAATCCTATGTTTGAGAAACCCAGATGTATGTTTGTGCAACATTGCGAGACAACTTGGCTTCGCCACTTTTGTTGACCACTATAACCATTGCATTAGGTACCAGTAGCAATGTTTTTGTCCGGATTGATAAATTATCTTGTCTTGTCTAGCATTAAGATGGGCCTGCTTTCGCGCATGCTTAACTTTGATCTATAGAAATGCCCAATCCCTGACCAATGTGAGCAATTAAAAAAATTGTGTTGCATCTATTCAGTTGGTGCACTCGCAGTGAGCGATGGCTCTCACACGGCTCTCTTGCAACTTCTTCGAACACGGCCTCGTCTGCCGTTTATTCCTGCTACTGTCTACTGCTTATTAGCCAATTCATCGCCCTTGTGGCTGGGGCCCCTGCTTCTCGTTCTCAAGCCACCGTACCAGGTCTATTTTTCCAGTTTTCTCGATTTTTGTGCACCGCTATTTTGTCGACCATAGATCACTCACGTGATCACCGATAATCATCTCTCTGGTTGAATTTTATGAGGCTTCCCGTGGCAGGAGCCATTTTTCGTTTCATTTTTTTGCCACCTCAGAAGGTCATTCCTTCTGTGTTAGTAACCAGTGGAAACCCCCACTGCCTCGACCATTCAGGGAACGAAGCGATCACGGAAAAATTTCGATGCGTCTCCAACCATGCAAAGCGAAGATCACGGATTAAAAGATGCGATCAATTTGCTGTCTTCAGACCCGACAGTGCCTGCGCACTTGGAAACGATCATCGGGCATCTTCTTGACAGCGTCATGAGAAAAGATCGTGAGTTAGAGATGCTGAGGAAGCGCGCTTCTGAACTCATTGCTGAGAACGATAAGTTAAAGGAAGAAATAAGGGTTCTAAAATCTAGTTTAGCCCTTTCGTCCGATAATTGCCCACAATCTGTTAGTCCAGTTCCTGTTAAGCAATCTGTTTCCTGTGAAGAGTCTGAACGTCTTAGATCCGTAGTAGTTAGTGGTATTACTGAATGTTCTGATAACAATGTCATTAACCGCTTGAATTATGACATTGATTGCGTTAAGAAGCTGTTTTCCTATCTCGATATTGAATGTATGCCCTTGACTTGTTATAGAATGGGACGCCCTCCTAGCGGTTTTCCTCGATTGCTTAAAATTGTGCTACCTTCTAGTAGGTTCCAATCTCTTTTATTGAAGCGCGCCCCTAGGCTTCGTTACTTCCCAGTTAGGGGCGTTTATATTCGCCCATCACTGACCAAAGAAGAACGAAACCTACGACGCACTAATCATGCCGCTTCGTCTCATAATGCATCGCAGCCACAACGTACTTCCCTTGTCCTGATTTGCAACCTAACAATGTTCCGATTCGAAGTTCACCTACTCTTAGTTCACCGCTCCAACCTATAAACACTTCAGTAAATGAATCTGTATCTGGCTCAAAGTCTCCTCATCATTAAAACTGAATTGTTATCACAGGCTTTTAAAAGATACATTATCTTGTTTGTTTGCTAATGTTAAATCCTTTCAAGAAATCTCGAGCCACATTGACCTTTTACTGAAATATAATTGTGATTTATACGTGTTTTGTGAAACTTGGTTAAGTTCTTCTCATTCTATTCCTTCTCTATTGTGTATAGATAACTATGGAGCACTACGTTGTGATAGACGCCAAAAACAGGGAGGTGGAGTGCTGATTCTAATGAGGAACCTATTCAGTTTTATTGAAGTATATTCAGATTCTGTCATAGAAGGATACGAGATTCTAGCGGCGGACGTTCTTTTCGAAAACACTAAAATAAGGCTCATGGTTGTTTATGGAGCCCCATCTTGCTCCTCTGCACATAATGAGCAACTTATGAATGTAATAAGTGATTTAACCATGTGTGAACAACCTTCATACTCGGCGATTTCAATTTTCCTGAGATAGATTGGACTAACCTCACAGCTGGTTGATCCACCTCCGCTACTGCCTTCTTGGAAATACTGTCAACACATAACCACAAGCAATATGCTGTGGAGCCAAAAAGGGAAGGAAACATACTAGACCTAATACTTTCAAATGATACAACATTAATTACCAATGTATTAGTGAAACCTCCAATCGGAAACAGCGACCACAATAGTCTTGCCTTTTGCATTGATAAACAATACTGGGAACCGCATTTCATTTTCTATAGAGACTTCAAATGTTGTGATTACAATAAAGTTTGTAACTTTCTCTCTGTTGCTTGGAGAGATTCTTTTGAGAGCACTTGTTCAATCAACGAAAAATATGAAATGTTTTTAGCTATCATACAACATGCTATTGAGCTTTTTGTTCCAATCAAACAAGTTTTTGCATCTCGCGTGCACCTCCCAACACAAAGCGGCAGCTGGATTGAATTGTAGGAAAACTGCCACCGGAACAGATATGCTCAGCTATATCGTTGAATCTTGACTTGCGAAGTGCGATCGAGCGATTCCAATTGCAAATCTTTCCATAGGCTATCTGTGGTCAAGGAGAGCTCGTTATTCAACAACATTGCTTGTTCATTTCCAAACAGTTTGGCGGGAATACTGCTCTTCCATCAATTCGGATATCACGCAGTGCTCGCAGTGGCAACTGGCATCTATTCTTTGACGCACTGTTGCCACGTAGCACGTATTTTGCTTCTTCTAGCTTAATCCTTTGCTTAATTCTTTGCGGCATCTATTCTATGACTACTGGACACGTTCACTGGTTACATTTAAAGTTGCTGATTAACACTGGGTTCGTTAGTCCATCTCATGCTCTAATTCTTTGCTCATATGGGATATCTGCGCTGCTTACAGTGGAGCTGAGCGTTCCTTACTAATGTAGTAATCGAGACAGGTATGTTTTCCTCTCGAATGGTATCTATTTTTAGCGTCTGATAGCTTCTTTTGATTGCTGACGGCTTTCTTCACTCTGCATAGCCGGTTTTTGTGTACGTTATGGGTCTGACCGCTGCTGTCCGCTCTACGCGTGGCAACAGTTCTGGTCAAGAAGAGCCTTGTTGGATGGATCTGCCGGGTCACGACTCTGTTAAAAATGTGCTTTGTGCTATGATAACAGAACTGAAATTTTTTTTCGAAAACCCGAATCAAAAGAAGTGATTGAGAATTAGTGGACAAAAAAGCTGATGAGCATCATCATTGCTTATCGGCTCTCAAGTTGTCAGAAAGTCTCAATGCAAGAGGAAAGGAAAGCTGTAGCCCTGGTCGCCCTGTTCATGAATTAGATAGATTGTAATGTTTGTTTTGCATAGGTTTGCAAGTGTAACTTAATTTTTCTCGGATAACGTGTTAATCAAGTGGCACAGGATGGGCAAGTGATTACAGAATGGACAACCTTGTCAAGACAGAAGTAGTTTACTAAAAGTGCTTCTCCCTCGTTCATTTCCAGGTACTGTTTCAAAAAGAGAGCCCTCGTCTTCGCTATTTCCTGACAGGGAGGCGCCGCGCAGTCAACCAACCCGATGCGAAGTGAAGAAATCTTGTCAAGTTCTTGATGCTGTCCGACGTCGACTTCAATATGTATATGACAATTGAATAAATATAGACTTTTGACAGGAACGCGCATGTAACTCGCTGGTTTCTCGGTCAAGTTAGTCGCAGGGATCCAAGACGCTGCTCTATAGGCCAATTTCGTGTCTCTGTAGAGTGAGGGAACACTTGCTGATGCTCTGCCTGAAGTAAAATAGAAGCAGAAGTACGCTCTTCCTTTTGTAAAATGGCCGCAAGGTCATCAAAGAGACCACAAGTGCCTAAACTACAAAGGAATCGTTAACAGAAAAAATATGATTTCTCTGATCAAAAATCACTGTTAGACCACAAGAGTTCTAAACTACAAAGGAATCGTTAATGGAAAATATGATTTTTCTATGATTAACAAACTCACTGTGAAACATTTATTTCCGAATAATACAGACGAACGAAAAAACTGTTTTTCTCTCCATTTCGAAAAAACCGAGGACTTTTCGCGTTCGAATTGCTGCCGTTTATGACTGATGTTGGCGACGGAAGTGGTTTCACTTGGCGCAGCGTACATCCTAGAAGCTCTTTCTGGCTATTGTCTCCCGTGCTATTGCACTTAGTTTTCTATTGCGATCCTAATTCTTATTGATGTTTTGCCTATATTTATTCAATGAAAATTGCTCCAGTGGTTTTTCGAAATGCGTCATCTGATAGATGGCCTTTCCAGATACACTTAATTAGGAAAAGGAGGCGGGCTCGACGCATGGGATCATCACTGTCGGAGGACAAACACGAAGGATCGAATCGGAACCATGGAAGAACAGAGAGTTTTTGAAAGAGGGTTTTCCGCCCACATAAATTTTTTGTAGTTTAAGAGGTCCCTGCAGTAATTCTTAGTCACCTAAGTGATTTATTACGATACAAGGTGAAAGAATCAGAAATTCGGATATTTCATCTTTCAAATGAGTCCACGAATATGAAAGGCTGTAAAGCACGCGGCACGACCCTGAGTCCAACGCAACTGATTGAGTCCAATCTGTTGCGTCCGACATGACGCTCTTAAGAAAGAGATTCGATTTAGAAAAAATCAAGAGAATTCTGAACGGGCTCGTGCGAAATTATAGAGACGAGCCCACTATTCAACAAGAAATGCAGTCTTCATTGTCAAGTTCACAAGCAGTAATTGTTAAAGTTGAGTCGCTAACTTTTACACCTATTGAGAAGAAAAAATCCGAATCCACTCCCATTTTTGCACATTAGTCGTGGAAGGAGCTATTTTCGTAAAAAAAAAGTCAATGCAGCGAAAAAGTAACTTTTCGGTGAAATGCCGTCAAAAGTCCTCGACGTTTCCATTTTTTACATAGTGGACGTATTGAGCAGCTCTAGCAAGCTTTGAACTGAACAAATCTTCTAAATTACGACAACCTTTTCGGATTGGACGAGTTTGAGCGGAGTAATGGCTTTGAAATGTAAAAGCTCGCAATCATAACGGATCTCGTTGATCAATCTAAATTTTTTATATCTTATTAATTTTTATAATTTCAATACTGTTGGGAGAGCTTTTTTGGTTTCATCCTGTTGAAAAGAGAAGGGATTCTCCAAAACTCTTCTGATCGAAAATTCTAGAGAAACAGTGAAGAAAGTTTTAGCCATTTGGTGTGTCGAATTTGAAAAGTAGATGAGTAGCTCCATGGTTAACGCCAAAGATTAGTCAACACACAACTAGCAGAGGTGCTTACAAGGCTTCTGTCAACTAAATGGTGGACGCGTAGGTTTTCCTTCGTATTGGTCCTCCGACAGTGATGATCCCATGCGTCGAGCCCGCCTCCTTTTCCTGCCAGCGGATTAACGCATAGAATTAAGTGTATCTGGAAAGGCCATCTATCAGATGAAACAATCAGAGAAATCAGAGATCTATCAGAGAAACCGGACTGGAGCGTTTTAATTTGAATAATAGAGGCAAAACGATCAATAGAATAGGATGCAATAGAAAAACTAAGTGCAATAGCACGGGAGACAATAGCCAGAAAGAGCTTCTAGTGATGGTACGCTGCGCCAAGTAAAACCACTCCCGTCGCCAACATCAGTCATAGATGAACGGCAGCAATTCGAACGCGAAATAGTCCTTCGGTTTTTTCGCAATGGGAGGAAAAAACAGTTTTTTCGTTCGTCTGTTATTATCGGAAATAATGGTTCTCACAGTGATTTGTTAATCAGAGAAAATCATATTTTTCCATTAACGATTCCTTTGTAGTTTAGGAACTCTTGTGGTCTTCTTTGATGACCTTGCGGCCATTTGACAAAAGGAAGAGCGGTACTTCTGCTTCTATTTTCCTTTAGGCAGAGCATCAGCAAGTGTTCCCTCACTCTAGCAGAGACACGAAATTGGCCTATGGGAGCAGCGTCTTTGGAATCCTCCGACCAACTTGGAAACGAGAACCAGCGAGTTACATGCGGCGTTCTGGTCAAAAGTCTCATATTTATTCAATTGTCATTATATTATTGAAAGTCGACGTCGGGACAGCATCAAAGACTTGGTACAAGATTTCTTCAATTTGCATCGGGTGTGGTTGACTGCGCGGCGCATCCCAAAAAAAACGCCTTTATGAATGGTTGCATTGCCGTGATCCTCTAGCATTTTGATAATTTCTGTAGTTTTTCTTTTCTCTGTGCAGATACATGACTGCAATAAAAATTTTATTTTCTATAAACATGACCGGTGACGGAATGAGAAATGTAACAACAATAAATAAACACAGAAAAATATTTTACAACTTATCAGATATGAGAACGTGGACTTCCACTGAAAGCTTCCACGCACAGCGGCCGACGTTGTAATGATGCTTTTGAAAAAGCGTTCTTGGCCGCTAATCATGTGGCAGCATTGGAATAGCGGAATTCACGCCGCTCACTTGTGAGCTCGCCCAGACGTTATAATAACGCTATTTGCTTGGACATTCGATTAAAATACTTTTCATCTGAAAAAAAGTAAGTAGTGCTCGCTGAGGCCTAGGATGATTCGGAATGAATGTTGAGTGGTGCTGCTTGCACTAAGTAAGCTGTCGGATCGTTGCGCTACATTAGGATTTCGCCAACCAATGTCGCCATTGTTTTTTCGGTTCCGAAATCTTTGTAAGTAGATATTATAGAATACTTTTCATAACATGGCAAGCTCAAGTCTAAGCACTGATTCACTATTTGTGTGAGTAAATAAGTAAAAACATGAATGCCTAAACCGATGATCACTCCAGCCACTGAAACTTTGCAGTACATCGAAAAGCTGTAGTATTAGCTTAGGCTAATGGGGCTACCTAGTTTTTTGCAGTTCTGTGATCACTGTGGAGTGAAAGTAGCTCTGTGTGGTGTTGGAAGTCTGACTGAATAAAT